ATCTTCAACACGATACAAAGTTAAACAAAACATTTTTCTGTAGCTTTGAATATATATGTGTGCAAAGATTAAATTAGAATAAAATAAAATCTCGAAGAACCTAAAATGTTTTGAAACAAAGTGCTTTGAACTTCAAATGAAACATAAACCTGAACTCATTGGCCATCGCCATACAGTAGGCTTTTGAAGAAAAAAGGTTGCAGCAGGACTATTATGCTTGAGAGTGGCTGTATTATGCTTTGGGGTTACATGGCAGTTAATGGCACAGGAAATATTGTGCAGATGGAAGGAAGAATGGCTTCAATTAAATAGCAACATTTTAGAAGCTAATGTTCCATAGTCAGTGAAGAAATTGAAAATGAAAAGAGGTTGAGTATTTTGGCAAAACAATTCAAATCAAGCACAAAGTATTTACAGGAAAAAAGAGCAAAGGTTTGGTCATGACCTTTTCATTCTGCAGAATGGAAAATGATTGAAAATCTGTGGGGAAATCTCAAACATGGAATGGGACAACTCACAGCAGCCAACTCACCGTGGCCAATTCACTGCAAGACAAGTCACTATGGCCAACTCACCATGGGACAACTTGCCATAAGACAATTCAACAATTTGATTTAATAATTTAAAATAGTTAAAACATTATTTTAATTTTTATCATTCACATTTCATTTTGTCCTTTCTTTGGCATCCTTTCTTTAAGTATTCTACTCTACCACTTCTTCAATATTAGTGTAACTCTTGCTGCAGCAAATTGACTCTGGCAAGGGGTGCCAAACTCATGGCATCAGGTTGTCGTCACATGATGTATCACAACTTTTTCCCCTTTTGCTAAACCAGAGGTGGGCGTGGCCAACATATGATGCATCTGGCCTGCAGGCTGCAAGTTTGATACCCCTGTCCTAGACCTTCTGAAATATGCAGTATATGCATACTGAATAGTTGTGAGGTATAGTAGAAGAATTCTGCAAAGAAGAGTAGGAAAATATGTCAAGAGCAAGAATAGAAGGATTCTTAGCTGGCTACAGGAAATGTTTGGGAGCTCTTACTTCTGCCAAAGGGATAGAAACAATGTACTAATTGGAAGGGTATCCAAACTTCTGTGCCTGCCATATTCACTGTTTACTTATGTGGAGTCTGCATACAACTGCTCATAAATAGTAAGCAAATTTGTAGAAGCAAATCCTATTAAACTTCGTATGATTAATTTTGTAGAAGTTCTGACAGCTTTTGCTCACTTGGGGATTCACTGAAACATACAATTTGATAGGGGATTTCTAGACATGCAACTCTGTATAAAGCTCAAACTATGTTTAAATGGTGATACTGGAAACTGTAGCTTTGATTTACAATGTGGTGTTTATTTATTAATTTGGAAGATTTTTTTTTTAAAAAAAAAGAACAGGAAAGATTGAGAGTCTATTAGATGTCAAGGGAACAGGGTAGATTGGGTGGTGCTGACAGATACTCGACTGTCTACTTCTAGAATAATTAATATATCCATTAATGTTGGTGGTGAATATTTTTTAATTAAAAAGGAAGGCAACTTCGGATACAGTAAAAAAAAAAATCAAGACAAGACAGAAGGTGAGCCAGCAGGGTCTGGAAAATTATAGTTGCTAAATTATGAAGTCTTTATCCTATTCATTATAAGATTGTGTTTTTAAATTGTAATTCTCTGCCTATTTCCTTAGAATGAGTTCTGTTGAACACCAGTAGTCTTATTTACAAGTGAACTCTCTAATAGACTTCACTGCACAATTTGGAATTTTTTTTTAAAAAAATGTATGCATACTTAGTTTATCTCTGAATATTCTATAAATCAGAATAAGTCTGTATCTGGACATTTATTTCTCAATCACCCACTTGGGAAAAAGAATCACTAATAAACCAGCCCCAATCAGTTTCCTCCATAGCATAATCAATGTATAATCAGAATAATAAATGTATGAAGGGCACAGAATCCAAATGTGAAGCCCTGGCATTATAGAAGATCTTGCCAAAGAGATGACATTTTCAGTGCTATATATATATGGCTGATCTAAGCCAATCAGTGCCTGACACTTACAGCCCTGGGAAAGATCTTAACTCTTATGACTTGGCAGGACACGAACTCAACAGATGGGCATAAGAGTAAGTAGCCAAAAAGCTTTACTCTATGTACATTTAGGGTGATGGCTGATGACAAGAATCCCAGACAGGAATTTCCAAACAGCTGTCAATCCTGAATCCATAAGTCTATGTTTAAAGGGATATGTCATTGCTAATCTGATTCTGAGATCATCCCACTTTCAAAAGCAAGAACTTCAAGCATTATGCTGTAGTTCTTGCTTTTGAAATTATGCTAGATGTTGGGAGGGAAATTTGCTATGGGAAAAGAAAACCTTTTAAAAAAAGAATCAATAACTTGCACAAATCTTTCTTTCTCATTCTGTATATTTGTATGTGTGTATATGCAGAGAGAGAAATAAAAAAAGTAAAGAAGTCCTTGTGGATTTTAGTCCACTAGTCATTGCTGACTATAGGGGGTGGTGCACATCTCTGTTTCAAGTCCATTGAGCCAGTGCTGTCCAAAGACATCTCTGCAGTCATGTGGCAAGTATGGCATTATGGAGTGCTCTTACCTTCACACTGAAGTGGTACCTATTTATCTATTTGCATTTGCATGCTTTGAACTGCTAGGTTGGCAGGATCTGTGACGAGGATGGGAAATCACCCTGTTATGTGGTGCTGGGCTGCTGGGTTTCCAGTCAACAAGCCAAGTGTCTTAACAGCTGAGCCACTGTGCTGCTCTTTATATGCATCCACCCATCCATATATCCATACATCAAAAATCTTAATGTAAAAGAAGAAGGTGGATAAGGAAAGAGAAATGAAAGATAACAACATAATCATAATACGACTGTGCAGTGATTGGGATCAAGTTCCAGAAAGATATCTCGAAAATTACAGGACTGAGAGCATAGCATGGGTCAGCAATCCTTTAAAGTGACTATGTGCATGCCTCTTCAATCCAAGGATTATGCACAGTTGCTCAAGAGTTGCAGATAGGTGTTATCTTTCTGCTGCCCCATCTTCTCAATCTTAGGGCCCAAATCCAAAAAACTGCACAGCTCAAATACATAAAGATATGTCTCTACTCCTTTATATGTCTGAGGGAGAGGGACGGTTCAAAAATGTGAAAAATAAATCAATAAGTACAAAATAAATTACATATATTTATCAATTCAGCCAATGACAATTAACTAGGACCTATCTTTTGAGATGGGTATCCATAAAATTAAGAGAACAATTAACAATTTTTAAACTTTCTTTTGCAGCAAAATGGTTAGCAAGTGAATAACTGAATGTTTACTGTGGGCATAAAATAAAGAGGTGGCTTTGGTTGGGAAAAAACCCTTTGGAAAATTGCTCTGTCTGGAGTTGCCCAACCAATATCTGTGAAAAGGCTCATTAGAAAATGGAAAGCAGTTGTGATAGCTTAGAATGTTTCCCATAACATGCTGAAATCATGTTGCATTGGACCATTGTTGAAGATGACTATTTTCATATCAGTCACCTAGAGTGCAATGTTTTTACCTGAAGGTTCAAAGTTAGGATTTGTGTTTCAATATCTCTTCCATGTACCTGCTCAAAGTAGGTCCTGTGACAAGACATAATGTAATCTATTATATTTGTATGTTGTCCTTTCTCTGATCAGCTTAAGGCATATTACTCTTACAACAGCTTTGAGGGATACCGTATCTTTGGCTATCACAGTCGGCTTGTATAGGTAGCATACAAGCGGATTGCTCATTCCATGCATTCAGCATTTAGAAAGAAATCTGGCCATTGATCATGGGGTATAATCAGGGGTGGGTTCTAAATTTTTTACTACCGGTTCTGTGGCATGGCTTATTTTGTGGGCATGGCTTGATGGTCATGTGACAATTCTTTAGGATTTAGCAGAGGTACTGGTCTACCAGGCTTTTAACTGCTTGCACAGCTGTACTGGTCTACTCATTTGTTTTTGGAGGCACATGTCTACCCATTTATTTTTGCAGGCACCGGTCTACTCATTTGTTTTTGGAGCCACCGGTCTATCACTACACTGCCTTTTAACACTGATCAGCTGTAGGGCAGCCCTTTGAAGCCCCGCAGCAAGAGTTTAAACAGTTTTTTTCCTTCTAGCCGATCAGCTGGGACTCGGGAGGCAGCAATAGATTGGGGGTGGGGCCAAATAAAAGGTAAGAATAATGCAGGGGGGCAGGAGGGCAGGGGGGTGGGAGGGCAGGGGGCGGGGGGCAGAACCGGTTCAGTGACGTCATATCATCACCGCTACCGGCTCGCAGAACCAGGCCGAACCAGGAGGAACCCACCACTGGGTATAATATTGTCATTATCTGGGTTTTCTGGTGAGAAATTGACTTTCATCTGTGAGTGCAGAGAAGTAAAATAATGATTTAGCTGCTTTGTTTTTAGAAAATTTGATTGGCATTTCATGTGAGATTCCTTAATAAATAAAAGATGAAGAAACTTTGGGGACTTTGTCATCTTACATAGGACATCCATAAATTCAGTTTATGATTATCTTCAGTAATCCAAAAACATGTGGTGAGAAAGTTGGTAAAAAAAAATGTGTGAAACTTGTGAGGACTATAAACCTTCAGCTATTTATGTGTGATTCACTGAGGTTTCAATTAGTCCTTTATTTTTGCTGTCCAACTTGAACTGTCAAATAAGGGTATTGTAAAATGCTTATCAGGTATGCAACTGATGGTCTGTTTATTGATTGGTGGATCCATAGACCTCCATAGATATCCTTTATTTGAGGGGGTCATATGCATTTGGGTTAAGTTAAGCAGGCTAAGTTGCTGTGGAGGACATGGATAATTGTGTCAAGGTGGAATGAGTGTTACAGTTTTCATCCACTTGATGGCAGTGACATATAATGGAAGATTCCCTTCCTTATAAATAGAGGGTGTGACAAAAATTGAAATTTATCTCTTTGACTGTTCTTTCAGGATGACAGTGCCTTCTTAATGCTTACAATTACAGTGGCTACTGCAAGCAATTCATGACAGAACACCTCTTTGATAAGTACAGGTGACCTATAGCAATTTGTTATTTCTTTACAATTAATTCAATTGAAAATATAAATACTTACTTATGTAACCGCAAAATAAACTGTAAATTTAAAAACTTATACACACACATATATACATGTAAACATAGAAACCTAAGTGATAATCCCAAATCCTACTGCCAAGCAGCAATACTTACTTATATGTATCAGTATTAAATAGTGATACGACTTTATATGTATAGTGGTGGGTAGGGGCACTTGGGACCATGATTCCTTAGCTAGGAAAGTGGCTTTGAGAGATTTCAGGAATGACGTCGGAGCTCTCTGTCCAAAAGAATCCAGTACTAGGAACAGCTAAAATAATACACCAAAACTGCAAACTCCCAGGCCTCTGATAGAGGACATGAGATTGAGGAATATGTCTACTATCTTACCACCTGGCCTGAGAAGGGAAACACACACAAAGAGAAATATTCTATTTCAATGAATTAGAGACTAAAAGACACACGGATTACATACATATCAGAAAATATTATAAATATACAAGTTTGAAAATGAAGGAGTATTACATGAGAGCCATGGGGGCACAGCGGTTAGAATGCAGTATTGCAGGCTAACTCTGCCCACCCATCAGGAGTTCGATCCTGATGGGGCCCAAGGTTGACTCAGCCTTCCATCCTTTCAAGGTCAGTAAAATGAGGACCCAGATTGTTGAGAGCAATATGCTGATGGTGTAAACCACTCAGGGAGTGCTGTAAAGCATTATGAAGTGGTGTATAAGTCTAAGTGCTATTGCTATTGCTATTTTGATAGTATTACTGCTCAAATACTAAGTATGTATCATTGGGTTTATTTGTCTACTTAGAAAATGTTTGTCCAAGTTTTATATCTATCAGAAAAGTTCTTAAGATAAGTAAGAATATTTGAAGAGCCGTAAAATAAAAATGGAGAAAGATTGCAATCCTAGTCCCCTGTAAAACTGGAGACAGATATCCAAGCCTGCATAGGAGATATGACATTGATGTTTTCCTTCTACTTCTGTGACACTCTCTGAGGCTTGTAGCATGTTGGGTATCACATCTGTCTGAACAGAAAAGTGTTTTCTCACAAAGAAGCCCAAAAATGAAAAGTGAATTTTTCAGGAAGGAATTCCACAGTTTGACATAAATACTTTCTTTATACCTTTCACTGTTATGGAATCAAGTAGCAGCCACCTTTGTTAAGAGGCAGGAAATGATTTTTTCATCATTTATAAGATGTGGCTGTGTTGCATAATCTTCCCTAGAAATAAGATAAACTAACTTTTTTTTTCAGTTTTTATGTTAAGGATCTTTAAAGAAGGCAAATAATCACACTACTGAAAGACTATGTAACTCTGCAGAAGAATGTCATAAAGAGGAAGGAGAATCAACCCTGTACTTTTTGTGTCTTGTATAATGTGCTATGAGAATGTAGAGGAATTTCTTCACAAAGTCCTCTGAGACCAGATTTGAGGTTTTTAATTTGTGGCTGAAAGAAATCTAGCCTCAAATTTCAGCGAACATTCATCTTTCCTTTCTTGCCTACCAATACATTTCCCAAAGGATTATAACACCCGGTTGCAGGTCAAATATTCATTCCAAGAAGCAGTAGCAAAAAATTCCTCAGCTATCACGTCCATTATTAAAAAGGAAGTACTATCCTTCTATCCCCATCATGTGTGCATGAGTGTGTGTATTCCTTATAAAACACATGAGACACCCCAAATCTGAGGACAATTCAGTGATGGCTCCCTTACTTTAGCTAACTTCATCTTCTCTGCTTGTCTGCTTTTTATATACTTTTTGTATAATTTTTTAATGATGAACATTTTTTAAATATATTTAATTGGTTTTCCTTTTTTAATTCACTGTAATATGCCACCAAAGTTATAGTCTTGTGAGATGGGAGGTTATGTAAATAGGATCAATAAATGAAACACACCACAGTTTAAAGCATCTGTCGGTCCCCAGAGTTTTGTGGCACCTCTTGAAGGAATCTACTGGCCAGAAACAGTTGAGAACCTGTCCTACACAAGTACTTTGGAAAGTTGCCTGGTGGCTTATAACATTTTCAGTTATTAAGGCTAAGATCAATAGAGGCAAATAATGTTCCTGTTCCTAACTTACCTTAATATGGACATTCTGTGTGTTTCACCTTGAAGCAATCAGATTTAGACAATGCTGTGTGGTTAGTTACAACCCTGTTGAATCAGAATGCAAAGAAATACATTGTGTTTTTTTTTAAAAAAAGGAAAAAACCCAGCAAGCTGGGAAGAAGTATCGCATTAATCTTCTCAGCACTCTTGCGGTTTGCTGGTAATGGAATACCATTCTCTGTTTCTTGCTCCCTTTAAAACACAGAGTGTAGTTTCTTACTACCATGCTTCAGACTCAGCAGTCAAGATGTTTGATGACAAATGTTTTTTGTTCAGTGGGTCATGAATGTTGTATACACACAAATGTACCCATTGATTCATTGCCTGGTGAACAAAATTGAAGTTTTCGTTTCGTTTTGTTTTGCTTCATTCACCTTGTACTTTTATTGTATTCAGCAAATCCTGAATGTATGTTTTAATCTTTAAAGAATAGAAAAAAGTTTTTCAAGAGCTTTTAGTACATTCAGCCCTAAAATATTTATTTACAGCATATAAAGACTGTGCTCTAAAATACAAAGCTTTTTGATGCTGAACTATCTTTGCATTAGGGCGAACAAGAAACATCAATAAACTAATAGAAAATGGACAAGTGTCACAAGCAAAAGCAGAACATGTCCTATTCTGTTGACATAATAGAGTTTATTAGCAATGGAGTGTTTCTTTACTTTATGCCACTGGCTAGAGAATGTTTCTCTAAATGAGATTCGGTTTGTATTGGTAGTTCCTAGATACTAATTAATTGTTGAGTGTAGACTGAGATGTTGATTTATGAACAATATTATAGCAGTAAATATAATGAACAATAATAATTATTATTGTCGTTCATTTGTATGGATAATTTTAACCCTATATGAGCTTCCCCAAAACTCATATAGGGTTAAGATAAGATGCACATACATATAAATAAGTAAAAACTGATATCCAATAAAGTTTGGATTTTCTGAATCCAGCTCAAGTAGGACAGATATGTTAAGGGCACTGCTCATTTTTTCAGGATTTACATTCTTTATGTTTGATATGTACATAAGGAAAATTTCCTCTCTTCCTTTCCATACATTCATTCCGTAAAAGGTAAAGGCAAAGGTTCCCCTTGCACATATGTGCTAGTTGTTGCCGACTCTAGGGGCCGGTGCTCATGTCTGTTTCAAAGCTGAAGAGCCAGTGCTGTCTGAAGATGTCTCCATGGTCATGTGGCCGGCATGACTAAACACCAAAGGCACACGGAACACTGTTACCTTCCCACCAAAGATGGTCCCTATTTTTCTACTTGCATTTTTTACGTGCTTTCGAACTGATAGGTTGGCAGAAGCTGGGACAAGTAATGGGAGCTCACCCCGTTACATGACACTAAGGATTCAAACTGCTGAACTGCCAAACTTTCGATCAACAGGCTCAGTGTCTTAGCTACTGAGCCACCATGACCCTACAACTCTGTACATTTTATCTCCTTATATTTCATTTAAACATGTTTAGTGCAGTGGTGAAATCCAAATTTTTTTACTACTGGTTCTGTGGACGTGGCTTGGTGGGCATGGTGTGGCTTGGTGGGGGTGGCTTGGTGGGCATAGTAGGGGAAGGATACTGCAAAATCTTCATTCCCACCCCATTTCAGGGGAAGGATACTGCAAAATCCCCATTCCACCACCCCCAACTCTGAGGCCAGCCAGAGGTGGTATTTGCTGGTTTTCTGAACTACTCAAAATTTCCGCTACTGGTTCTCCAGAACCTTCAGAACCTGCTGGATTTCACCCGTGGTTTAGTGACTATCTCCTTTCTTTTAATAAAATTATAATGAACTGAGTGATCTGTGATTTATATAGGTATCATATAAATTTCAACAAAAGATTTTATAATCTAAAACAGCACATTCTTCATCTGAGTACCATAGAGTGTAGTCTTGAATGGCATCTGAATGATGTGAATCTCTTCTTGATCCCTGGACCATATTTTAGGGAGTTGTTTCTTCTTCTGTTAAGTATATGGTGCCCAGAAGGGGAAGAATAGGAAAAAGATAAAAAAATCTATATAAACTTGCACTCTTATGGCAATGATTCCCCTCCCCCCTTTTTAACAATCATTCTTAAATCATATTATTGATTTTACCCCAGCCTAAGCTACAAAATGAATTAGAAATGGTTAAATAATACTACTGCCAATAAAACCATGCTGTATACTCCACCATCAACATATGCAGTAAGTTTTTCAGAGCAAATCTATAATGTTGTAAATTGCATACATAGCACAAATCATTAAAATGTGCCTGTCCTATTTTCTAATTTGTGCACTTCAAGTTCTTTTTTTCTTCCCAGCAATGCCTTTTTTTCATAATTTGATATATAAACATGATTGGTCAGGAAAAAAAGTCTGATCTTCAAACAGAATAAGAACATGGGAATTGCATCACAGTGAATCAGATGCAAGTTCATCTACTCAATAGAGACATTGACCTGCAGCATCTATTCCAAATTATGGACCAGAATATTTCAAACTCTGGAAGGAGAACTTGGGAATTAAATCTAATTTTTCTACATACAAAAAATGACTCTACCACTGAACTGCACCCTTTCCCCCATGATACACACACAGTCTGACAGACACATAGGCATAGAAGCACACTTTGGAAAAATGAAACTATTATGTACAATTAAGTATGATTGTCATTTTGGTTGGAAATCAGGAGATCAGTTCTTGATCACAAAGCTCAGCAATAGAAGAGTTCACACAAAAAGTAGACATCCATCACAGTGGGGGAACCACAAGGCTTGACTCTAGTATATGAAGACTTAATTTTTTTTTAAATTGCTCTTTCATGTTCATAT